GCCGGGGCCGCCCACCTTGAGCACCTGAGTGATGCCGACGCAAAAGTTCACCGTCAACAAATCGCACTCCATGCACGGGGGAAGGGTCAGAGCGGCAGGAGGATCAGCGAGCAGGAATTGTCGGGCCTCGCCAACGTCCTTGATGAACTGCTCGTCGTTCCCCTTCTTAACCCACAGCTTGTAGACCTTAACCATGGAGACCAGGCCGTTCAGCTGCTTCTTCATCACGACGAACTTGTCAGCCAAATGAGCCAGCCCGGGGGCTTTCTTCTCGATGGCCGCGACGAGGTTGGTCATATTCTTGTAGAAAGCCTTATCCTTATCGTGGATGATCACGCGCTTCTCGTACCGCGAGAAAGCCTGGACCTCCCTCTCGCCCTTCGCCAGGGTCTGCTGGGCTTCCCTGGCTGGCTCGGCCCCACCCCCGCGCGCGCCGCCGCCGCCTCCCAAACCCGCGGAAACCAACGAATGAACCGTCTTGCTGAGCTACACTGGCCCTGGGGGCCGCGAGAGCCCTGGGGCCCCGGGCTCCCACGTGGACCTCGAGGGGCCCGGGGCGGGCCCCGAACAGACCCCGGGGGGCTGGGCCGGGCTGAGGCGCGCGGAAGCGCGGGAGGGATATGAGGGATACAAGGAATATGATGGACAAGAGGGACGCGAGGGAAGAGGGATCGGAGGGGTGACACGGATTGGAGGATCAAGAGGGATAAGGGAGATCGGAGGAATATGAAGGACGAGAGGGATTGGGCGCCTCCTTCACCTCCTCCCCCTCCTCCTCCTCCTCCTCCTCCTCCTCCTCATCATCATCATCATCATCATCATCATCCTCGCCCTCCCTCCGCGACCCCTGGAAGCGGCCCTGGGAACCCGAGATAACTCCCGCGACGACCCAGTCTTTCGAGCCCAGCCGCGGCGACGAGGAAGGAGCCGAAGCGCCGCCCGAAGCCCCGGGAGGGGCCCCATCGGGCCCCCGGGGGCCCCCGAGAGGACCCGCACTGGAGGGGGCACTGGCCGCGTCGGCGCGCGTGGGGGCCGAGCTCGCTCGCCCAGGGCGCCTCTCCAACTTGGCCTGGTCCGCGCTGTCCGCAGGGCCACCCGCGGCGGCAGCGCCAGTGCGAGCCCGCTTCGAGGCCGCGCCGCCGCCCTTCAACGGCGGCGGCATCGCGCTCGACGGGCGGCTCGCTGGGGCGACCGCGGCCGCGCGGGCGCCGCCGCCAGGCTGCGCCTGCCCTGCGCGCCCCGACGAGGTGCTGCCCGAGAGACCTGGCCCGCCGCTGCCCTGGGCCCCCGCCGCGGGCCCGCGAGCGCCTGCGCCGCTGCTGCGAGGCGCGGCGCCCCCGAGGAGGCCGAGCAACATGTCGCCGCCGTCGTCGTCCTCGCGCACGTCGTCCTCGGAGTCCGAGTCCACCGCAAGCTGCGACTCGGGCGCCCCTCCACTGGCAGGGACCTCGGGCGACGCCGACGACGCAGCTCCGTCCTGCGGCGCAGCGGGATCACCAAACCTCCCCTGGCCTCCTCCTCATGCGCCTCCTCCCCCATGCTCCTCCTCCTCCTCCCCCCCTCCTCCCCCCCCTCCTCCTCCACCTCTCCTCCTCCTCCTCCTCCTCTGCTCCTCTCCTCTTCCCCCTCCTCCTCCTCATCTCACCCTTCCTCCCTCCTCTCATCCTACCCCCCGCCTACCGCCTCCTCCTCCTCCTCCTCCTCCTCCTCCTCCTCCTCCTCCTCCTCCTCCTCCTTCCTGCTGCTCCTCCTCCCCTCCTCCCTGCTGCTGCTGCTGCTGCTGCTGCTGCTACTGCTGCTGCCCCCCTCCTCCTCCTCCCCCTCCTCCTCCTCCTCCTCCTCCGCCCTCCTCCTACCTCCTCCGTCCTCCTCCTCCTACCCCCTCTCCCCTTCCTCCTCCTCCTCCTCCTCCTCCTCCGCCGCCTCCTCCACTACTCCCCTCCCCCCACTCCCTCCCCCCTCCTCCTCCTCCTCCTCCTCCTCCTCCTCCTCCTCCATCCTCCTCCTCCCCTCCCCCCTCACCTGCCTCCTCCAACCCCGCTCGTGACAGAGGGTCCGGCGCCTCATGTCGCGTGCTCGCATGCCCGCATACTCCTTATTTCATGCCTCATTTTTCCCCCGCCTCCGCCTCCTCCGCCTTCCTCCTCCTCTCCCACTCCTCATATGCCGCCTCCTCCTCCTGCCTCCCATCCTATCCTCCTCCTCCTCCTCCTCCTCCTCCTCCTCCTTCCTCCTCCTCCTCCTCCTCCTCCCCCCCTCCTCCTCCTCCTCCTCCTCCACCTCCACTTCGGGGCGCGGGGGGGTTCATGGGGCTCTCTTGGGCCCTCGTAGGGGCACCTCGGGGGCATCCGAGAGCCATCTCGGGGCCCCCATGGGGCCCCCGAGGAGCGCCCAACAAAAGTTCCAAACCAATTGCTTCGCAACGATGGGTTCTGGACCTTTTTTTTGCTCGCTGTGGGGCCGTTCCTGGAGTCTCTCGGGGCTCGCTTGGGCCATCTCAGGGGTCTATCAGGGGCCTCTCGGAGCTATCTCGGGGCTCTCATGGGGCCCTCGGGGGCGCCCAACATAAGTTCCAACGCAATTGGTTCGACGCGGTGTGTTCTGGTCTGTTCGCGTTTGGGCCGCTCCTGGAGCCTCTAGGGGCTCTCTTGGCCCCTCTTTGGGCCCCCCATCCAAGCTATGTAGGGCTCTGGGCGAAGGGCGGATCAGGCCCGGGAGCGCCCTAGGAGGAGGGGGGGGAAGATGGCATTTGAAAGTTCGTTCATAACCGTGGGTCTCGGCAAGGCCAAGTCGTAGGCATTGCTTTTTCATTGCGTTCTGTTCCCGCCCCCCCACCCTCCCCCCGAAAAAAAGACAATCGACCCAGATATGGAGGGGGGGGAGGAGCAGGAGGATGATGAGGACGGGGAGGAGGAGGGTCCTTGCCCTTCTGCGGCGTCTCGGGCAACGCGACAGCGGCCATCCGCTGGCCGCTGAACTGGCTGAGCGCGCCCTTCTGGAGCGACGCGAACAGATTCTTCTGCTGGTCAGGGTCCTGCGTCAACGTGCCGTCGTCGAGCATGCGCCTCTTCTCGACTTCGGCCTTCATCTTCCACGCGCACTTCATCTCGTCCTCCGCAGTTTCAGGCATCAGCACAACGTCCCTGATGGTGCCATCGCGCCACTCTGTCTTCGTCACAGTGTGGCCGAGGCCGTTGGTGGCAGGATCGCCATAGAGCGGGATGTACGTTGTCAGCAGCTTCATGGTCCCCCTGTCCTCCTTCTCCACCGAGATCGACTGCGACTGCGCCACGGTCTCGACGGGCGCGCCGTCCCAGCCGGACAGGTCCCTCACGGCCTTGGCACCAGCCTTGTACTGGGCGATCAGCCATGTGCGGAAAGAGAAGAACTTGTCGCGCGTCGCCTTGTCCCCGGCCACATCAGCGGACACGTCAGCGCAGCTCTTGTTCGGCCAGAGTCGGTTCTTGGTGACAAGGCAGTACGCGCAAATCTTGCCGCCCCAGTTGGGCTTGCCCCAAGAAATCGTCGAGTCGGGGTCCAGCTCGCCGGGGCTCGAGGGGTCCTTCTTGCAGAACTTGCACTTCTTCTTGGCGAGGTCCATGTTCAGGGAAGCGAAGTAAGCGGCGGCCGTGGCCGAGAGCACGCCAACGAAGCCGCATCCCGCCTTCGACGCGTACTGGCGGCCAGAGACCCCATTGGCGCCATCATCGTCATTGCCGACGCGGCGTCGCTTGCACCCGAGGCGCCCAACCGCCAAACCTTCGTCGTCGCCGCCGTACTCGGAACACTCAGTCGGCGCCGACCTTGCCGGAACTCCCAAGCAATCCAACAAGCCGCCCCCGAAGCCAGCGTCGTCGAGGGCCATGGCCGTGAGCGGCGGGGGCCAGGGAGACTTCGGGTGGCCGCGAGAGAGGCGGCTGGAATGCGTCCGACAGCGAGGACAACTAGGCCCGAAACAGCTACCGATCGTTTCGAAATCCGCTCAAAATAAATCCTGGACCCCTCCTGGGGCCCATACGCTCAAAATCCCCGAATGGCATTGAAGATATCCTCTCGAAGCTGCTCCCCAGACCTCTCCCAGGGCACCGCAAGGCGGCAATCGGGCCCCATTCAAGGGTTCAGGGGGCAGTTAGCCAAGTCCAGAAATTCTCTAACCTCGGCCGTCGAGGTGCGCGGCTCAAACCTCGACGCGAAGCGTGAACCCCGTTCCAAGGCCACCTAACTTCGCGCTTCGCGCCCGGCGATGCGCGACGCGCGGTTATCTTCGCGCCCTCGCGAGGCCACCCTGGAGATGGGCAGGTCCACGGCCCAGGCCGCGACGCGCGAAGAACGGCTAGAGCGAATGTCTTCGAGCCCCTAGGGGTGACATGGCTGGCGTTCGGCCCCATCTTGGGGGCCACCCTTTCAGGGGGCCTCGCTGGCACCAGGACGAGGGAGAGAGCATGGTGGATCGGGAAGCAGGGTGGAGGGATGGGGCTTAGAGGGACGCGGGATCTCCCCTCCCTCGCTGGCGCAGGGAAGAGGGGGGAAGGAGGGTGGAGGGAGGAGGGGTGGAGGGTAGAGGGAGGAGGGTGGAGGGAGGGTGGATGGGGGGGCGGGGGGAGGGGGACAGGTGAAAAAGGGCGCTAGAGGGCGGATGGCAGAGGGGCGACCCGGCCCACTCGGGGCAGAGGGGGAGAGCGACGCAGTTCCTTTCCCAGCGCCTCAGTGCCCTCTCTGAGCGCAGCCTTCCTGAGCGTCGCTTTCAGCCTCCGAGATCTCGAGCGAGGCAGCTGATCCCCTGGGCGCACTAAAGCTGCAACTGCGCTGGGAACCGAAAGTCATCAAACTCATCTCCTCAGCCCCCCATCCTCCACTCGCCCTGAACTCCTCATCCCCCTGGATCTCCTCAGGGAGGGAAGGCAGCGCTGGCTGGCGGCGCCGACAGAAATAATATTTAATGTGAATGAGCCCCGATGTCCTCGCCTGGGCCAACTTAGAACTTAGAACCAGGCCCTCGTTCAGAACAAGGCCCGCTCGTAGACAGTCAGCATCCCGATGCCGATCGCCATGACGTTGTAGGCGTTGTACGCGTTGCCACCCAAGTTCGTGTAGACGCCCGGCCTGGGGAAGGTGCTGGCAAGCATGGTGTTGCTGAACCACGGCATGCCCTGCAGCGCGAAGATCTCGGGCCCTTCGAGCAAGCGCTGGCGCTTGCGGAGCCACAGGAGGGCGTTCGGCGTGATGCAAGGGCAGGAGCCAGTGCACCTTGGGATGCGGCTGATGCTCTGGTTCACGTCAATGATCTCCTCGGGCTCCCCCTCCCTGATGGGCCCCAGAGTCAGGTCCATGAAAACCACGCACTCCTGGGAACGTTTGGGCATGAACCCGAGGTTCTTGACCGTCCGCTCCCCGTAGAGGCAATCGATCACTGGCGGGTACGTGAGGTTCCGCGTGCGGAAGGCCTCGCGGTGCTTCTCTGGCCAACTCGGCGCCTTCGCCTTGCCTTGAGCGGGCGCCCTCTCTGAGATCGAGATGTCCGCGCGACGCCCCTGGAACAACGCGAGTTCAGCGCTGCCCTCCTCCAGCAGGAACTTGTCGATATCCATCGGGTTCGCCATGACCGAGTAGATGATGCGTTTGCAGTTCGTCAGCATCGGGCCAGCGTCAGTCTGATCCTGCTTGGTGAGGGGGGTCAACTTCATCAGGAAGCCGAGGATCCACTGCCTGGGGGGCCGGCGGAGAGAGGGCCGAGGGCGCCCTGGGGCGACAAGAAGCGCCGCGAGGAGGAGCGGGAGGGAGACGCCGACGACCACGGAGATCAGGAGGAAAGGAGAGGCGAGACGAACAGGAGGCGGAAGCCGAGAGAAGTAGGATTCCTGGGGCCCGAGGGGGAGGGGGTCAGCCTACTTTTGCCCCCAACGCATTCAAGTTAAAGTTAGATTCTTCTTGCTGCACCAAAGCGAGCCACGACCACGAATAATCGCGGGAAGACAATGGCCACAAAATGGCGTCGCAGGGGGCTCGCTTCAGCATAGACCAGCGGTAGGATATAGAGAGAGAGAGAGAGAGAGAGAGAGAGAGAGAGAGAGAGAGAGAGAGAGAGAGAGAGAGAGAGAGAGAGAGAGAGAGAGAGAGAGAGAGAGCGCCTGTTGCGACGCTGGGGCACCCCGTGGTCCCTGGCGTCGAGCCGCAGCGTCAGCACCGCGTAGCCCAAGTTGTGCAGCGCGATGACGATCTCGTCCAGGTTGTTGTCGGTGCCGTCGTCGCTCTTGTTGTCGATGGCGGTCACGTTCTCCAAGGTGAGCAGCGCTGGCCTGAACCTCGCGATATAGGCGAGGGAGTCCTTGAAGGTCTGCCCCGTCTTCTTGTCGCCCTTGCGGATGGTGACGCACGCGTCGGCGCTGTTGATGTTGCACAGGCTGACGCTCTGGCAGCAGAACCCAATCAGCACCCAACTGACGCCCGGGACTGGCTTCTGCTGGCTGGATATGATGTCGAACGCCTTCCCGTGCCTGAGGTCACCCGCGTCAGCGAACAGACACATGGTGGTCGGATCGTGCATGACCTGGAGGAACGCCTGGGCGACCTTCTTCTTCTCGCAAGCGAAGCGGCTGGTGGCCGTGGCCCGCTGCTCCAGGCAGAGACTCGCGGACTCCGAGGCCGCGCTGAGGATCGCGTCGATGGCGTACTTGCAAAGGTCGGTGCCGCTGCAGATTGTCCCAACGCTGATGTTCGGCTGCTGGGTCAAGGTCTTCTTCAGCTTGGCCAAGTCATCTGGAGTGAATCGACCGATCATCTGCGCCGCTGCTTGATCTAAGTCGTGCTTCTCGAACGTGAGGCGGTCGGACGGGGGCGGCGGGTGGACGTCGTGCACGTGCGTGGGCGGGGCGGCGCGCCCTGGCCCTGGGAGGCCTGCATCGCCGCCAGCAGCCGCAGCGCTGGCGCTGGCGCCGTCCTGGGGGGCGCGAACGAAAGGGGGGAGGGGGG